TTCCAACCTAGAAATCTATGAATCTATTTCTCAGAAATATCCAAAATGCCCAAATACAGGCTGCTTCATATTTGATAAGTTTAGCGAACTTAATTTTTCATTACTATGAAGGGCCAGCCGTAACTTCTGATGTAACAGATAGCACCAACAAAAAAATACAATTCTTGATCTGAATTACTGTAGTTTTCATATTACAGTGGAATGAACAGAGGGCAGCGTTTACTGTAGTACTTTTTAATCACAGATGCTCCAAACTGTTTATAGACACTTATTACAACTTCTGTTACATACTGCGAGGCGGTGGTACATCACCCCATTGATACTGACCAAGTTTTACAGCAAGATTTACTTACTTACACGCTTAAAGAACCTAGAACCAAAACTGAAGTGCAATCACACACATACTGACCCATACGAGCAAAGGAAGAACAGCTGCCTCTAACAGCAGTACTTATGTGAAGTCAAAGTTAAAAATCTCTGTACGTATTGTCATCTGTGTGGCAATCAACTATCTACAAAGCCACCAACTGTTGGTTGTTTTGCAAGTATAATCCTCAAGTGTCATGAGAGGACACAGACAGAGAGCATACACGCCCGTGTGCACGTGCACACAGAGTTCACACATAGTGTATGACTTTTAAGAACTACTTCCAACGTTTTAAGAGCTGAAAGCTCTTTACTTACCAAGTAAATACCATGCAATGTTTCCTGAAGGATCTCTTTAAAACACAGTTTTTCTAAAACGTTACCTTTTTCCAAAACAAAACCAAAACAACCAAAATGAACATACATGGTCCAGTTTTCTGGACCATATTTTCCATAGAAGTTCAATTTTTCCATATTAAGAAGATATAAATTCATGTCTTGCAAGACAATAGCTTTTCTTCTCTTGCTTTTTTTCTTTTTCCTTTTTGAATGTCTCATTTTACACTCTTCATGAGGCATTTCTACTGCATATTAGACACAGTAATTTTTGCAAATCATTGTCTACACTCTTCTTCCTCTTCGGAAAAATAAACAAAAAAAAGCAACCAAGAAACCCACAGAAACTAATTCTTGCTTCTCATTACATAAAAGTAAGCTGGCAAAAAAGGTTTAAGCTGTCTACATACTCTCAAGGTAATCACTGCTGCAATCAAAACATTAAGGATTCTCAGGTAATGAAACATTTTAGAGGGTACACTTAAACGTTTTAATGTCTGATTTTGTTACAGTTCCATTATGCAGTTAATGCTAACTTCTGAAATAGATGCTATTTGTTAGATTTTATTTTGTTAAGACTTTAGCGAATTAAAAATAAACAAACCAAAACAGTCACCAAACCACTGTAGGAACTATAAAAATAAAAGATAGGTGCTTAGGTGTATGTTTTCAAAAACCATTTAACTGACATTTATGCACAGAATTTTTTTATTTTTTCCTTACTCCTTTATGCAATGAGCTGCAACCCAGTCGAATTACTGCCTGATATGATAACTTAGCTAGAGGTACACAAGCAAGTCTTCAGCTAAAGTTGAAAAAAAAATTTCTTCAAAGGAAATTCCCGAATAATGTCAAACAGAAGGTAGGCTACTCATCATAAACCTGTAGCACAATGAACAAGAAATGTTTCAAGTGTCCAAAAGTCTTTCTGAAGTTTTCCAGCTTCTTCCCTTTTTTTCTACTATCTAAAATGCTTTACATTTGGCAAGCAAAATCTCTTGTTAGGATAAGGGCAATTTAAAAGACTATTTTTTTTAAAAAATTTTTTTTTACCTTGATGCTCCAAATGCTGTGCATGTGAAGTACAACTGTCTTGTTTCAAATGGAATTAAGAAAGGACACTTGCTTGTTAGCTGCTCACACCAGTCTGGCAAAGCTCCACTTGCTAGTGCCAAGGGTTCCTGTAGTTTAATTCAAGGCAAAAATAAATTAATAAATAAAGTGTTTCTAATATTAGACTCGGGTTGTCCGAACAAGTTTATAATGACATCCAAGTATGGAGTTTCCACCTGTGCTTGAGAAAGTTTCTTCCTTCTCAACAATTGCTATCTTCCCCCCCAAACCCCCTACTTAAATGCTATGACTGAGAAGTTTGCGGAGTTTCTAGGACTCAAGAGTGGACACAGGGTGCTTTGGCACAAACACTCTAAAAGCTGTAGTAAGTCTCTGGAATATGTACTACTCAAAGCACTGTGGGGGGAGTCCAAGTGTACAATTACCTGGAGAGAATTACTTCTGAGTTTTGCCCAAAAGTGATTAGATATTACCTCCTAAATACCAGAAGACACAAAAGAAACTCGGTGGTAGTAAAGATGGTCCCCACTGAAATATTACTACAGTCCCTTCTAAAATACAAATATAATAAAACCAGACTGCAGGAATTATTACTACAAATATATTCAGGGTGCCTAAACAGCCTTTAAAAAAACATGAAAAACTGAATGTTTTTTAAATGAATAATTAAGGCAATTTAACTGTAATAAAAAAAACTCTGCAAAAGCACACAAGAGCCAAGCAAGTCAAGAATCATCTTCTCTAAATCTTTGTTAAAGAAAATGTAGTTCTACTGAAGAACCACATCTTAAAAGTTTTCCTTTTAACATACCTAACTGACCTACTACCAAGAATAAGTTTTCTAAATGCTATTTTTGAAAGCTTTATGTGGTATGTATAAACAATAAAACGTTTGTGGATCCTAACACAATTAATTGCCTTTGTTACAGTATCATCAGGCAGACATACATACACTACATGGTAACGCTGATGTTTGGTGCAAAAAAAAAAAATTATTCTTCCTAACCAAAAGATACAATTCTCTTCCAACTTTTTTCTTGGCATGTTTTTATTCAGATTAGCCTGTTTTCACAGAATTTACTAATCCAAAAGATTGGGAAGCAAATATCGCATGAAACAATTCAAATGTCGAAATGGCAAAAAAGCTAATGATTTCAAACAGTCAAAGTAAGGAAGTAACAGAGTCTTAAAAACAATATTACATATATAGATTGCGCATAACACATTAACGTCATACCTCAATCTGTTGCAGAATCTTTGTAGTAATTTTTTTGCTTGTGAATTCATCTGGTGGAAAGTTAAACTGAGGATGTTCATCTCCCTCTGAAAATATCAAGAGAAAATTTTTTGCTTTATTTTGTTTTCATTAAATCATTTAAGAAGCTCTGCTAGATAACTAACTAACCTTCTTGAGAAGTTCGTGCTGTGTAAGGGTCACTGGCAACTATATACAAAATGCGAAGTAACTGCAGAACATCTTCTACTCCACAGGAGTTCTGCCCACTGCCAGCTTTGGCCTGAGGTTGTTCCTTTGCCAAACTAAGGATATCGGAATTTTGAAGAGTCGAAATGGCCCCTTGACTTAATCCAGATTTTGATCCATGTTCACAAAAATCCTATAAAAAAGAATCATTAAGAATGAAAACTGTGTGTGTTACTATCTCTAGGACTAAACACACCAGGTTAATGATTTGAAAAATCAGAATGGTTCCTGTTTTTAACCTTAACACTTAGTCAATTGTGGATGGTCCAAATCATGATTCAAATGCATTTTAACACAACTGTATTTAAAGAAAATATTAAAAAAAAAAAAAAAAAAGAGAGCAGCAAAACCTAAATTTGATATTGGCATGTGAACATTCAACTTTCCTATCCATGTCACATCTCTCCTCCACAAGAATCTTTAAAGCTGCAAAACAAAGCACACAGCCATTCAAAATAAAAAAAGTTTGGATGCAGACATATACCTTGTATGCAGCTATGAGTTGGGAACAATTTCTGTTTTTCCTAATACTTTTATTAGTGCCGGTTAATTTCCAGTGGCGCAGGAAAGCTGAGTCTGCATTCTTCTGCAGGTAGGTTATCAAGTCATTCTTTGGTAATTCGTCAGTGCCAAGGTACTGCTCCACATGCTCTACTGACCAGCAACCCTACAACAGGAACCACCAAACGTTGGTTTTTCCTGATTGTAAAGTCTTGTTGAAGATCTCACATGCATTACATACTGTCTTTTTCAGAGGAGCATGCATTTACAAGTATACTCACTCATATCCTTTAAGTAATTGTAAACTGTTAGTTTTTTTAATGTAGCCATTTCAAAAACTGCAATAAGATTTGTTTTGCTTTTGTTTAAACAGCCATGAAAACATATACAAAGGCACATAAGACTTACCATTTTTCCACTTTCTTTCTCTTTGTCAGAATCCTTCATTTCTCTGTACATGATTCTAGATATCAAAACAATGAGTTAGTATTTCATCCATAGCACACCCTCCAAATTCTGAAGTTACACATTAGACATCAATGACATTTAGATAACACGATGTAAACCAGCAATAGCAGCTGCTCTTTGCCGTGCAGAACATCTGGGACACCCTGATGCAGCAAAGTTCTTAAATTAAATACTTTGCAAGATAAATATCAACATCATGAACATTAAATATGAGTTTATGTTTCCTAAAGTGAGGTTTGAGTAATCAAACAACCTCATTGCACGTATTTCCCAAACCAACTTTAGGTTCTTTACTACACACGCACCAGCTCTTCGAAATTTTGAAGTTCTAGGGTAGTTTATTGTGCAGTAACTTCGCAAATACGCACATTTACAACTATTTCTCATGCTTTCTAACTAGAAAACAGTTTTGTTACGCACACAATTTTTGACACAGGGCAACTCAGAAAATAGGTGCAACACACAAGCACTGCTGAAATCTGAAATACAAGGTTAAAAACCCTGCCACCACCTTACTGCAGTTCTTGCTTTTGTATACGTTAGTTTGCTAGTATGACAGAAGCTCCATTGGTGTGGTAAATGGAAAATACAATCACATAGTCTTATAATTTCTGTCTGTTACTATAAAGCAAGTAAGGTCAAAATAGCATAGAGAGAATAGTTGAGGCTGGAAGGGATCACTGGAGTCCTAGTCCAACACTCCAGCTCAAATGTTATGTTTAAATGGAATTTCATGTACTTCAATTTGAGCCATTTTCTTCTTGTCCTTTCACTTGTCACAACGAAGAGCCTACGCTACGTCTTCCTTACTTTCTCCCAACGTATATGCATACACACTGGTAAGATCCCACAAGTCTTTTTTCCTCTAAGGCTAGACAGTCCCAGATCTCAGATTCTCTTTGTATGACAGATGCTTTAAACCCTTTAATCATCCTAGTGGCCCTTTGCTGGGCTCACTCCAGTGTGTCCATGTCTCTCTTGTACTGCATCCAGCCCTGAACTGGACATAGCACTCCAGATGTGTCTCACCAGCGCTGAACAGAGAGGGAAAATCATCTCCCTCAACCTTCCTAATGCAGCTGACCTTTTTTGCTGCCAGGGTGCATAGCTGGCTTGCGTTCAACTTGATGTTCACCAGCACCCACAGGGTCTTTTCCGCCAAGCTGCTTTCCAGCCAGTTGGCTCCCAGCCTGTACCAGCAGTTATTTCTCCCCAGCTGCTACACTTGCATTTCGCTTTGTGTTACTTCGTTAAGTTCCTGTCTCCCCATTTCTCCAGCCTGAGAGCTCACACCCATTTCCTAATTGGTCACGGTGCTCTTTACACAGAATAATAAACTTGTGAGCTTACGTGTATGTTGGCTCCCAAATACGTCTAAGTTTGTCAGATTTCACATTGCCATTACAGGAAAGCTGTAACAATTTCTGTACATAGTAAAAGATGGTAGATCGAAAGTTTGTTAAGGGCAGTTCTACTTCTCGAGTTGTTCCGAGACCTGAAACTTTCAAGGTAAGTGCCAAACGTGGTGAAGGCATGCACTCAACCTCTTCCAAGAGTTCTGAATGAGGTGTACCTGCATGTGAAAAGTCATTCGAAAAGCCATTAGCATCAAATATATAACATAGGACAAGTTGGCTTAAACATTAATAAAGTGGCTCAGTAAGGAAGCGTGAAGAGTTTCTGCACACATGCCAAAGAGACGATACTGAGTTGCAACTATGAACTATATCTACGGGCTGTAACTGCAGCACTTCTCTATGCGAGTAAAGCTAACAGGAATTTTTGAAATCCCTATTGATCCTTACGTCTTGATAACATCTGCTTTAATATTATCACAGCACATGCATTCTTCTTTTTATACACAGTATCTTCCTGTTGTATTAACTCATTTCAGTTCATCAAAATCAACAATGGCTCATTTCCACATAAGCTAAACCTACGTATTCCTTTCTGTAAGGAACCTTGACTACACCCACACTGCTAAGCAAGACTGAACTAAGGAGCAAGACCAGGTGCTCTGCTGCTGGTCGTACAGACTGCTCAATTACTGTATTAGCTTTCCCCTTGTCTCTGCTTTGGACTGTTTCAATAAGCCCTCTCCAATCAAAGCTATTCTGCGTAGCAAAACATACACATTATTCCCTGCAGATGGAATCAGACATAGCAAGAGATTCACCACTAATCTGAGTCAAATTCATGAGTATGTTTATTTTACCCAGCATTTTATTTACTTTTCCCCTCAATAATGCTTGGACCTGCAGAGGTAGATGAAACTCTTATTCAAACAGAGAAAAGCCAAACAGCCACAAAAGCATGTTGTACTGATTAATAGTGATAGCATCCCCAGAGCCCAATAGGCCCTTAACAGTGACTCTCCATCCTAAAGCCAGATAAAGTACCACAAACGTCTTGTCAGCATACCTGGTGGAGGGATTTCTAAGTCAGTCGTCTGTTGAACGTTAGTACGACCAGGTCTTGGGTCAAAAGCAGGAACCAGAGCAGAAAACTGACGTTTCAATACATAGTCATCATCCCATGTTCTTCTACGGCCTCCTTTGGTTTCATACTCCTCTTCTTCCTGAAAAAATAAAGTTTGTATTTTTTTTTTTTTTTTTAGATTTTGCTTCAAAGAATCATTTGATCAAAAAATTAATAGTTAGTTAGGGAATGGAGCATTCATATAAACTAGAATCGGCAGAAAAGATATGAAAGCTGGCAGGTAACAGTATTAGTTCCGTTTAACTGGTCAAGCAGGAACGAAGAGAATTACCAAAACCACAGACATATACAAATCAACATAAATGGGCTACCCTTACAACAGGTATATTTACAATTTCTGGGAAGAAAAAAAACTTTTCATGAAGCATCAGAATATAGGGAAATATGGAGTATTGTAGACTGGCAAACTTGGTGTAGATATTTTGCATATTCCACAAACTTTGGAATATCAAAGATTCAAATAAATCAGTGGTGTCAAAATAAGCAAATTAACTTCTCTGAAACCAAGAAGCATTTTTTTGAAAGTGTACACATATATGGATAGATCATGTATACACATTTTTTCTAGAGATTAAATCAAATACCAAAACACTGGAACAACTATGGTGGGAAGAAATTTAATCTTCAATAAGCCTTAGCAAGTATTAATTGCTTATGACTTTTCTACAACAAGGTTTTAATCTGTTCATCTCCTCCTTGAGAAGAATTACAGAGTATATCAGAGGGAACAGGACTGTAACCCATGAAAGTAAAGTTTTCTTTTCCAGATCTGATTCTTCCTGTGTAATCTTAAGCAAAGACTGATTTAGCTATTTCTGCTTCTTCCCATGAACAAAAATAGTAACTCCATTTAACAATTTCTGAAAAATGATCAACAACCTACAAACTAAGGTGGCTGTTTGCACTGTAGATCCATTTAATTAGTACTGGCTTTTCCATTCCTAGCTTCAGATCTTTGTGCAGACAGTGAAATCACAAAACATTTAGTACTTGAGATACTATTAAAAGCATAATGACAGTAGGTTAAAGTGATAAATACTTTGGTTCAAATGACTGAAAGTTGTGCATAGTAATTACAAGAGAAAATTTCTATGATTCCATAAAACAATATTCACATTTATGTAACAAACTTTAAGCTATCATTAGTGAAGTCTTATATTTTTCCTTTTAGACCTCGCAATAACCATTCTGATTCCTTCAATGGTGGTAGAAGACCAAGCATTCATCATACCACTAAAGAAGAACCAAATGAAAAAGCCAGAACTCACAACAACGTAGGTAAGACCCATGTGGACTAACCTGCTGAGTTTTGTCTTGTCTTTTTTTTTTTTAAAGAGCTATCTCCTCCGACATACTTAAATCATTACAGTTTGCTTCGCACAGTTAAACACATCCCAGAACTCTATCATTACAAAATTCAGCAGCCTACCCACAAAGTTACACCATTTCATCAGCCAGTGAACTAGCAATCCACCATTTCTACTGTCTGTCAACTTGTTCCCAGGCTGTTTTTAAGATGTTAATTCTGATGTATAAGGTCTCAGGGCGTGCCAGTGTTCAAAACCACTTTCTTCTCTGGAATAAATGCTGAAGGTGGTACAATCAAATTTGTACAGAAAGGGTACTACCCTGTTAGCTGTCCTATCTAGTGAGGTCTTGCAATTTTAGCATGCCCATTTGAATGCATAAGAAACCAGCTTTCTTAATACTCAAAATATACACAAGAATGAGGAAAAGGGACAATGAACTGTCTTCATAAAGTAGCATTCAGTTTGCAGCCTCTGGAAAGTATAATACGATTTTAACTTCAGCATTTCATCTCAAATCTTAATGGACAAGTACTCCAAACTAGTAGCCCTAAATCTAAATACATTTGTTTTAACTCATGGAAAGATTATAGCTAGTACCCCATACTAAACAAACAAACAAACAAAAACCACAAACAAAAAAAACCTCTGTGGATTTTTAATGCATCTGTTAGTTAGGGTATCATCTATGCTCACTATACTGTACCATAACTTCCTCATATTCTTGATCTTCTTGGTTATCATCTTCATTTTCATCATCTTCTTCATCTGGTTCGGGTAGATCCTCATCATCGTCTAACTCTGCCAACAGAGTACTAGCTCGGCAGCTATCAAGAAAATCTATAACACACATATATGTATATTTACACACAGAACAGAAAACAACAATACCTTTTAAAGCAAAATTTGGAAAATTAAAGATCAGGAGCATTGGGAAGAGGGAAAAAAAAAATCTCACTTAAACAAGAAAAAAAGAGAAGGAAAAACATTTCTTATGGCATAATAAGATTGAAAGCTGTAATAAAAGCATACACCTGACAAAAAGTCCAGGGATCTAGTCAACAGCATAACTAACAAAAGAAGCATTTAATATTCGTATAACTAAGAGTGATCAGTTTCTCATTTGCTTATATCAATCATTTTATAATTACAACTACTTATTTTAAATTACAAAAGATCACAAAAAAAATGGTACACAAATGTATACTGTCTTGCTTCTACATTTAATTAATTTTAAAACAGGTTAGTGACACAATTTCCACTAAGAATGTGTGGCTTAAACCTCAAATTACAACATAAAGAACATTTTAAATAAACATTTAAGAGTGATATTTTAAAAGATTCAATTGCTAATTAATTTCTGTAACAAGAAGCTGATGACAGGTACAAAGTGCAGTTTTACCCACCTAGTACTAAGACTTAAAAAAACAACCCCTAAAACCAGAAAATAAGTTTATAGCAATCCAAGGTGGACTGGGATAAATCTTTGAACTTTTACATTTTTCTACACACATATTAACTATGCATACCATCCGAACACCCTTTGAATTGTTGCCAGTGTCCCAAAAGAAACTTTAAGGTAACTCTATTTGCCCAGTTCTTTATGATATATTTTAAGACTTGTCACCCAAACAAAATATCAAGAGAGATTTTAAAATTAAAAAAATAAAGGGAGATGGCATATGCCAATATCTTAATTGATTGCCTCCAAGCAGCTCAATTCCAATATCCATTTAAATTATCAGATATTTTTCAAGCTATTTCAATAGGCTATAGGAAGGCAAAATAGAACACAATCATAATCTAACTGAATTTTAAAGAAAGCAAGTATATTTCCTGTCAGGAACATCTCACTTTACATTAGGAAGTATCTTCTCATATCTACCCCAAGTTTTTCTTGACTTCATTCCTAGATATTATCAACCTAGTTAACTACAACCTTCTTTCACAGTACTCATATCCTGCAAATAACTTCTTTCCGAATATCTGTTTCTAGTGTATAGCACCCACATAACTGGATTTTGTTCTTCAAATCATATAACTCCATTCTCCGTGTCATTTTGATTTTTGTGTTCTTTCCAGGTTTTGGGTTTTTTTTTTCCAATTATTACTATGGTATTGAGATACCTGGAACCTCATCTATTATTTTAAATGTATAATGTGCTGAATGGTAGAAGCTTTTCAAACACTGAGTAATAAATACAAGTTACCTCCCACTAAGCATGTAACATGCCTATACAACACAATGAGAAATAACATTTTGATTTTAATTAGTCGTTCATATGCACACTACATTCGATACTAAACTCATTTAATTAAGGAAAAGATTAAGCGCCTAAATAAACTGTACCATAAATAATGTGGGACAGAAACTGCTGAAAATAAAGACCTGAAAACATAAGGAAATGCTACTATGTTAACATTATTTTACTTACTCCCTTATAGAACTAGTAACATATTAACAGCTCAACTTTCAAATATTTTTCAGTAAATAAATTACTACATGAGAAAATCATAACAACAGGAGAAAAGAAAGAAATCATTAATGGGAAGTCTGCTTATGTTCATTTAAAAATGAAACTTACCATATAAAGAATATTCTGCCTCCTGACCTGTATCGCTCTCACTAGATGTTGATGTTAGGCTAGTAGTTAGAGTATTACTAAGCGACTGACCAACAGATAAAACTGTAGTTGCTGTAGCTACATTGCTGCTGCTAGTAACACTGGATGTAGACATGGTCACTGTTGATGTGGTACCAGTTGTAGTCAGATTAGGAAAACTTTGGGCACCCATAAGAGGAGAAGCTATAGATAAAGATATGGTAAGATAAAATAAATGATTTGATGACTTGAAGAGTACAATTTACATGCATGAGCCCTGTGCTGAAAAACATATTTTGGGTTGAAAACTTATCAGATGTAATGTGTTATTTTACAATAAAGATTAACAGACTAAAGAGGAAGGGTTTCCCAGTGCAAAAATGCACCCTACGATGCAGATGCTCGCTTCTGAGCGTATTCCCTTGCACACATTCTAAACAAATACTTTCATTAAATAAACTCCCAAATCCCACACTAAGTCTGAAATTACTTCATTTCATTTTCAACATATGAAAAGTATTTCTGAAATCTATTATTCCAACACTCTGCCTGTCTTTAAGCCTAAAATGTAATTTATCCTCTAAACAGCAATATAATCAAAATCATACAGGGAAAATATTTTAACTATACATAAATGAATTGAGAACAGAACAAGACAAATGTCAAACTTGAGATTTTTGTGCATTTCTCTGACGTTCTTAAAGCAGCTCTGACTTATCTTTCACATAACTACTAGCAGATATGTTCATGATGGACAACAAGCGAACTTGTACTGAGTTCACAGTACAGAGAAATATGACTGACTACCTTACTTATGTTGGATGATTTATACAAATAATTTTCAGAATAAGCAAACAACAAGTAAGACGTTACCTTATTGCACATTCAAAAAAACCACAGGAAATGCATTTTAATTAACAACTGAAACAAGACTGAATTCACTGTAAACTCAATAGAAAGAATTTCAGGTACATAGCAAAGTGTAAGTTATACTTATATGCAACTATACATTTACAACCCAATCTTCAAAACATTTTGTCACATGCTTATCTTCAAACGCTGGAGGTTAATCACATGTTTGCACGTGCAAATTTGAGGGGTCATCTATACTTAAATTTAAATCTTATCTTTTTCTATCTACTTTTTCTAAAATTTATTAATTCCAAGTTTTGCAGTTTTAGAGTAAGTATTTTCATTACTGCAGCTTATATAAAACCAGGCACTGCTTTTTTTTTTTTAAGTTTAATCTAAATTCTGAATTTCAGACTACTATCATCAAGGTTTGTAAAGGCTACTACCCTTGAAGAAGGGTATAATACAACAAAGATTCTTCCCTGAGAGCATTTGGTAGCTTTCTGAGAAATCATTTTTATGCCTGGGGAGAAAGAGACTGAAATTTGAATTTAGGGTTGTTAATAAGCCTATGTACATCTCTGAAAGCATGGAAATTTTCTAATCCAAAGGGTTTTTCTTTTGTTGTTTAAGAACTTGAAAAAAAGTTCTTAAACAAATTCTAATTAATAGCAGTAATCTCCTTGCTGTTATAATAAACAGAAAAAGCCATTAACTGTCAGCATTTCATTTGCTCTGAATACAAGAACAAATTGAAACTGGCCACCCTAGACACCACTTAACTCCTGGCAAATACTGATGATTTTAAATGCAACCACTACAGCAATTCCAGAGAGACTTATATCATTAATCATGATTTCAGACTTGACTTCTTTGGAGGGTGGTGGGTTGGGGTTTTTTTGTTTGTTTTGGTTTTGTTTTTTTTTTTTAACCTGGACAGGCCCAACAAAAGTAAAAATAAATAAATTAAAAAACAAAATCCAAGCTTTTTACAACGCTCTAATATAACTTTGGTGAGTGCTGAAATTTACTCTCATCTCATTTTGGGGCACAAGTTCCCATTTCCAGTTTATTTGTATAAAATGTGTAAACCAAAATAATTTCTACATGAGGGATAATTTTAAAGTATGACTATATTTTAATAGTAAATCCAATTTTTAATTTGCCACAATCTTATATCCAACTTTAGCACTGTAGGATATCAAACATTCATGAAATCTGTTAAACATGCTGTTGAGGATTTTTACTATGTTTTTCAAAGGTGCTCTCTCTCTCTCTCTCTCTCTCCCCCCCCCAGCACAAAACTACTTCAGAACCAGAGGCACTGACTATCTGCCTAAAAGGGGATCGATCAACTACTGGGAATCTTCCCTTGAGTATCCTATTTACATTTTTAACGCAGGCTGCAAGCATTTTCCCCTCCCTCCAGTATCACAATATGAATGTAAGAGTACATTAAAAAATCCCCTCAACAAAAAAAGAAAACACTCACTATTAAAAAATATTTAGAAATTCCAAAAGCAAACATCACATTTTTAAATAAAGAAGCACAGAAGTCCTAGAAAAGCCTGAAAGCTTATCAAGAAACTGAGTGCTTCTTTCTGGCTTGGGTAATCTTACTTTTTCTAACTTGCCTACCTCATGAAATGCAGCTCTCCAGGTTAAATTACTATCACCATCACCAAACAAAATAACTAACAAGGCTGGCTGAGTAACAACTCTGATGGGAGCATGCTGAAAATTCAGAAAAGTGAACTCACTCACAAGCAGCAGGTTTACAATTTACCTGCTAATACCTGGATCCTACATTTAATCTGAGAACATGCAGATGTTAAAGCATGTACACAATCCCATTTAAATCACTGTTAACTACAAACGTCCTTACACTGCATGTGCCTGAACAGTTTGCCGAAGCTAAGCCTTAACGACCATACCATCTTCAGCGAACATACACAGTATTAGAGCACATTCAGCGGCTCAGCCTGATAGAATGCAGGAAGCCACTAAAATTTCATCATATTGTAGTTTATTTTTACTGTCTACTGTGTTCTTAGTTCCTAAGCTCAGAGACTTCACAATACGCACAAACTGTCTTTCCTGAGGAAAACAGAAAAATAATAGAAAGAGGCAGATACAAGGCGAGTATGCAAAATCTACACAGATCAGAAAGCCGAACTATCCATGTTGGCTACTGTTGCTCGTCTTCCAGCCTCTTGATCTAAATCATGCTCTTTCTCTTCCTAAGTATGTAACAGACATCAAATTCAAACTATTTTCTTTTTGATGGGTACCACAGTGTAATCCAACACCACCAGGCAACTTAACACTTTCCAGCTGACATGAACTCTGCAAGCTCTTCTTGAGTTCTACAGGTACACACAAGGTCAAGGCTGCTCTAAGTTCATTTCTCTATCATGCCAACAGAATCTGAACATCTTTTAAGACTACTGAAAGCCAAAGAAACAGCAAAGGCTTCAACTAAAAATAAACATAGCTTACTTACTTGCAGTACTCATGACATTTCTCCCCAACGTATTAGTATTGTTATCACTGCTACTTCGGCTTAAATTCATGTTGTTTGTGGCATTGGTACGTGCTATGTTTGCCACTCTTCGTACAAAGGACTCCAGGCTGGAAGTTTCTCGAGATGATAAGTTAGGAACGCTTGCACTGGAGCTCATTGGTGCCCCAGCAGCCAACAAAGAACTGACTGAGAGTCTGTTACTTGCTGAAGAGCTTAGAGGTCGTTGGGAAGTTGCTTCTTTATTAGTCAGTTCGGAGACTGAACTCACATCAGGAGAGCTTACACTAACAATTCCCATGGATATAGCACTGGACTCCCCAGGAGTACGTATCGAGTTATCAGGACCTATCTTTCTCTCTGCGTTTTCGTTTCCCATGTCCGCTGTTAAGGTGCTGGTGCTTGCACTGGAAGATGACCCTACTTCAGCCTGAGGCACGCTATCAGCGGAAGACAGAACAACAATTGGTTCATGGACGTCAGTGCCTGAAACTATATTTTGCTCCATTACACTTTCTGATCTCCGCTCCATTTTGGTCGAACCCAAGCTGATGTCGCTGCTACTGGCCACGCTACACACAGAACTGCTGCTTCCTTTTCTACTTGAGGAGCCTGCAGCAGCAGTCGTCTTGTCTGGACAGTTGTTTTTCACCAAGCTGCTCCATGACTGCGTTGTGCCTGAAACAGTGGATGAAACAGGTTTGGGTGATGCCGCTGAATCAGGGTCGTACCCTGGTGCAAGCTTGAGGTCAAACTTTCCTTCTGCGCCCATACGGTAAGAGTTAGAGCCACCAGCATCCCAGGTGACATCAATCCAGCCTGGAAAGGGACAGGAGTTTGTGAGATCCAGCAGAAAGCAGACAGGAGCGTGTCAGACAGTAGCTCCACAACGTGGGATCAGCTTCTTATAAGGGCTGCATGTCTGAATTAATAAAATCACTAAATAACCCTTACTGCCAATTAAAAAGGAAGCGTTTAAATCTAACAATATGGTATTTTAAAAGCATTATCAGCTTCTATCTTCAGGATCCCAGAATCCAGCCAAAAGAAAAGTTTCCGGAAGGAACCTGACCTACTAGGATCTCTCAAAATTTTATTATTGGACACTTTAATAATGGAAATGTATATTAAAATGCATCATCATAACTTTATTAATATCTGTCAAATTATAATTCTTGCAAGGACATTCTATAATGTTTTTCTTTCTTAGACGCTTGTGGATAAACATATTTACCTGATGGAAGGCATTTTATGAAACTGATTAATTTGGGGTTTCTTATTCTTGTCTTATAAAGTGAAAGAATTAAATTACTGATACTTAGCTTTTTAGTTCAGTAATTTACACAGACTCAAACATTTCTTATTCATAGGAGAAATCTTGCTACGGTCAGGTAAGGACTACTTCAAGTAAGATTTCAGGGTTGCAAAAAGAATATGTTTCATAGAATGAAACTTTATATTGGGACCAAAACAACACTAAGAAGAGATGCTACTCTTCAATTGCTTTATTAAATTATTATTTAAAGTACCATTTTTTTTTAACAGTTAAATGTAACAAATCTGCAACAATGAGAGTAACAAAATTGTTAGCAAAATTTCGCTAACTAGGACAGAAATAGGGGCATAACAATTTATTTTTGCTTGCCTGAATATGTACCACAATCTCAGAGTCACCTATAAAATTTCTTCTAGTATTTTGTATTGTATGTTAACTGTAACAAAACTTGGTGTCACTATTTTGATTGATACATATTTTCTTTAAAAATAGAATCTCTAAAGCTCAGTCATCTTCTGTAACCTCAGAGAGAAATTTAAAACAAGATGTCAGGTCCAGATATACACACATATTTTTCTTTGATAAAACAGAAGAGAGTTAATTTGAAGTAAAAAATTCTTTTTTAGTACTGTCAGGTGCACTTTTACCTTATAACTATTCAAAAGTCATCACTTCTAGACCAAAACAGAGGATCACAGGCAATTTTCTATTTAGAAATATCACTCTGGAGGAAGAGTATTTAAAAATGGATAAAGTTTTCAGATGTAAGCAGACATCTCATCCCCAGATGAGCAGGTTTAGTTCACATTATTCCTGTATGACTTTATTCCACCTTCACAAGCTACATTTGAGTAGCTTCATGTCACTACATTTTCAAAGGGTAAAGTTGTGAAGCAAGTCTTTTTTTTTTTTTCCCCTTTCTACAGTCTATTTGCCTTTCTTATCATATACAAAAACAAAATTAGTAAGTTCTACACTGTAGTTAAACAGTATAATTTTTCCCTTTATGAATACAGTATTTTGTAAAAGCATTGCTAAATAACTATTCCTGTTTTGTATAGTTCCTTTTCCTAAAATATTAATTACAGTTTTAAATCTATGCAATTTTTTAATACATATGATGTACCTAGAGTCTTACTGCTCTGTCATTATAGTCCTAAAAACAACTAAAGATTTGTCTGAACTTGTGAAAAATGACAAAAAATGTCAATGGGACACTATTTTCAAAATTCTATTTGAAAGACAACTGTGGTAGGAATAAGACTGCTGCTACACGTTTCGCATTATTTGGCATCACTATTTAATAAAAAACGAACCTCAATTTCACCTACGCTTAAATGGGAAAGTTTTACCACAATATGAGAACAAAAACACTGATTTAGTAGAATACTACTCACCAACAATACCTAAAGTCTTCAAAGTGAGAATGTAGCTATGGATACTGTTGCATCTGATAAGAACAACATACAGATGACAGAAGAATTCCCTACAAGCTATACTGAATGGCTTAAATAAGATTCAGTTCCAAAACATTTTAAGACATTGTATTTTCTCCATGTTTGAGAGCTGACAACTCAAACTAGAAGAAATGTTAAAATCTGGCGAAGAATGAGCCTCAGAGTGGCTGAAGATACTTCAGAAACAAGGCAAATCTTATATACCCCAAAAAATACAGGGAGAAGAGAAAAAAGGTGGGAAGTATGTTCAGCTGACACCTTTTCTGAAGCCTCTTCAATATCTTAGCTCTCTGAGCATGGACTTCCCTGGCTGTTACAGGTTTTTATTTTGCTCCAGAAGTTAAGTATTTTTCATGCTTTTAATAAAAAAAAAATACAACTTGATCCCAAAGAAGCTAGCAAGGTAGGAAAGGTACAGGATTCAACAAAAGTCAAGAAAAATACTGCAAATGCTAAGCTAGAAGAAACGAAGAAGGTAATTATAGATTTTGCAGGCCCAAAGCTTAATTAATCAGTTGGCATCAATCACTTTCATATACTTTTCCTCTTTGTAAAGATGTCTAAATAACAATTTGGTATTTTGATTAAGCAAAGCTCTACAAGAGTTTCATTTACAGCAAGAATTTTTTTCATGCATTAAAAGAGAATTTCATGAATGGGTCACAACAGCTGTAGTATTTGAGTTCCTCCTCCCCAAAATATTTAAAATTTTATCAACTTCTTCAAGACACTACAAAGGAAATACTTTAATGTTACTCATTCCACAATAATTAATCATGTTACAGACATTCACAAATTCAGGCAATTCATGCTCACCATTATGCAATTCTCCTGTAACAGTGCCTTCACCCTGTGGGCTTCCATCCTGATCTCTCCATTTCCAATCAATTCCTCTGATTACACGAGCTCCTGGAACCATATATTTCAACACCTGAGAACGGACCAGGCGTCGCTGCCTTCGCAGATTTGCTTCAGCTTCTTTAGCAGCTTTTCCTGCAAGAAATTTAAATTGAAATGAAAAGACTTAAAAGTATTGAATGGGGAATTATCTCAAGCTTAAGTTTCTAAGCAAGTTCCCCTGCAAAAGTTAACCTGCTTTTTCACACTGATTTTTATATGTTCATTAGTATTTTAAGAGAACAAATAGGAGGTACACATTTTTTTTTCTTACCCAGCTGATCTTCACATACTCCATTCACAGTGCCATAAAGTTCAAATCCAGACAGAGAGAGGTAGTGTGTTTGCCCACTGGCATTCTTTCCCATCTGTTTTATTCTAACATGTCTCCAACCTTGTTTCTCATCTTTTGGAGGATCTAAAGGCCACGTTGCTGTAGATCTTTAAATATATTATAAAGGGGGAGTGGGTGGGGGACCAAAAAAAGAGGGGGGAAAAAAAAAAAAAAAACAAAACAACAAAAACACGATCAAAACACCTTAGTACCAAAGCAAACAAAACCATAATGCTGATCATGTATGGATAACATTAGAAAACTGCCAAGAATACAATAAAATACATAAAACCTATTAACATTAGGGACAAACTCTGGATGAGTGCTGGTGTTACTATTTCCTCAAAAAAAAAAATCAAATGCAAAATTTACAATGATGGAAAAGTACAAATGCTGTTATGTGAACCATACAGAGAACTTACGAATCACTTATTTTCCAGCCCATCCTTGATAATTTAGGTCACTTACAATTTTTTTATCTAGTTCCATTATTACAACTAGAGAACACATTAAATTAGGCTACCATCAAGTACATTTTTAACTGAGCTCAGTCTTATAGAAAGTGATAATACACTGACATACCCTGGTTCGTTGAGACTACAGTCATCAACATGAGTATACAAAGTAGTCCAGTTCTGTCCATCCTTAGATACCTGGAAAACCCAATTTCTGAGAGCAGATCGTCCATAACCTCGAGCATGGCGTAATGTGTAAGCTGATGGTATAACCCAAAGACCAAGATCTATGGCAAACCAAGCATTCTTATCATCGTTAGTATGACAATTGAGAGCTGAACTGTCACGGCTTAGGATGTCTTCTAAACGGCCATAAGGCAGATTTCTTCCTTCTGAGGATGTAACCACTACTAACCCATAGGCTGCTGGATTTACCCACTCATATGCAGTTCTATATTAAAAAGAGAAACATACTGTTCAATTATTACTTATATTAAAAAAAAACAGGTATCAGTAACATTTGACATTGACTGTAAATTGTATACTACAACTGAGTTCATGACAAACCAAAATTATTAGTATCATTTTAGATAGTTAGATAACTTTAGGGATGTTCCAAACACCACTTTACTACAGCGGTTTAAAAAACAAAATAAAACTCCCACAAAACCAAACCAAACCAAACAAACGCACAGCAAACGCAAAACAAAGTCCCAAGCTTCCCCACTTCTTCATTTCTTAGGTAAGCATACAAACAAATTCTCAATACAACTTCAGAGATTCATATTTTTCTATTACTTAAGTAGAGCAAAAAGAAATGTAATCCTATTGATAAACAGGAATAGAAAAGATACCTCCCACTCCTAAAAAAAATCTTAACAGATTTCATTTCATTATGAATTCTCTCTCCCCACCCTGCCCCATGGATCACAGTTTACTGTCTGACTTCAAGACTTCTAGCTTTGAAGAAACTCACTTTGCATTTGTCCCAATCCAGTAAATAATTCCATTTTCATCAAAATCATGTTGATGCCTGAACACAAATGTTTGGCCTTCACGTAGTTTTCGTACAAAAACAAATGAAGCCCTATCAAAGTCGTACCATTGCTTTGCTACCTACATAGGAAGAAGAGAAATCAAATATTAGAGATGCAGAACGCAACCATTTCTCGTGCACTGTGCGTGGGGTATGTTGCTCACCATTTTCAGGAGATACTGTTCTAGAGATTCAACGGTTGCCAATGGCTCCATTTTTAGCATTCTACCAGTTCGATCTATTAAAGATGTCTCCCCCGAGGCACGTTCCAAACGAAACCTCAAGCGCCTTGTTAATATCTGAAAGAGTAGCTAAACATTAATACAGGCTTTTCCGTTTAGGTTTTTTAATTTTAAGAAAACAAAAATTTCACTATAACAGTTTCAGGCGCGTATCAAGTATTTTTGCTGCGCAACTTAAGCAAACTATATTCTAACTTAAAACTTTAAAAAGTAACTCCATTTTTCTATTAACCAAACATTTATTTAGTATGACAGTCAATGTATAAGTCAATTACACATTCCAGCTATTATTTTTCTGACTTTTTCATGTTTCTTCATAGCTTTTTATTTCCAGATCTTGTAGACTAGCAACTACAATAATACAAAAACTGAAAATGCTTTTTCAAAATATTCCAAAGCAGCAGTGTTTTTACAACTTTTTGCAACTATTTTCTAATAATTTAACATCAAATCAGAAATATTCACACTTCAATGTCACTTTGCTGCTTTCAAATAGAAAAAATTAAGACTCCACACAAACTGGACAAATACAAGTAATACTTTTAGCCAAACTGCAGCTTTCCGTTATAAGAAGCTGCTGATCCTGCACGTGTCTTGTATTACCAAATGAGCAGATAGCCCTAGAAGGGACCTTTTTAACCATTATTGTCCATCCCTAGCCATCACAAATAAACATTTCTTATAATTGTCTTCAATAAATTGCTCGTTCAAGTAGTAAGGATACTTACTAAGGGGTATATTCCCATATAAAGAGAACAATACTTGAAGACAAAAGAAAGAACAAACATATTCTCTCTTCAATCAAAATTTACTTTCACTTCACAGCATAAAAGTGACAGTAGAGGAATAACCAAACATTTAGGTTGTTAGAGGAAATAAATACCAAAGACTTTGCTCTTCTTTACTTCATTCTATCCACCTTTACAAGAATATGATTCATACAGACTTAACATGCATAACTTTTCCTGAAATTCAGATATAACATTTAATTGCGTATCACTCAGTATGATACATAGTTATCAATGTACATTCACCTGAAGATTATATGTTGATCCTGGTGTATCATACAAGTGGAGAGGTAGCCGTTCGATAGATTCTAACACTGCTATCAATTTCCGAATTAATGCAACTGCTGGACGACTGTGAAAGTGAACAGTTAGTATGTTACCACACAACAAAGAGAAAAAAAATTCTACAGTATTTCATAGAATAATACTCAGCAGTAGCAAATATCTCAGCATGCTATTTCTACCGCTATCGTCTGTTCCAGTCACATGGTTACAGCACAATAAGAAAAATATTAATCTGCATAGTGATGAACAAAAGTCACCTTTATGTTTGTCAACAGATGTACATTCCGTATAGTTGACTCCTACAGATAGGAGTAATTCAGTAAAATTTTCAATTGCTATTTCAATAGCAGATGTTGTCTTTTAAGACCAATTTTCTATTCCAAAGAAAGACAAATTGAAATGGAAAGAACAGTTCCTTTGCCTTTAAATTATTTTAAACATACCACACCGCTTCACAGATCCAATTTGGTTTTTACCTTTCATCATCCTCGTTTTCACTGAATGCTGTTTTGAAAACATTTATTCTCTCTACCAGTTGACTACAGTCTTGTTTCACATCTAAATCGACATTCTAAGAGGAAAAGAAAAAATAAATACAAAAACCACGTTACTTCTAATATAAAGCAATATATTCATTCTTTATACATCTAAATATAGCCATTTAATGGCTAAACAACATCAGCCATTAGAACTGACCAGTGTTGATCTAAAGATTTTTAATGGCTTATTCCAACCGAAGTCATCTGTTGTGATAGCATATATTCAGCAGACAGACCACTAGCTGGAGTAAGCCTGCCCGATTTTCATCAAGATGGAAAAAAGCCACATTTATAATAGATTTTTTTAAATTAAGACACATGCCTATGTTGTTGTTTTTTTTTAAAGTTTTTCTACAGAAACTTATCTTCTATAAACTCACATTATTTAAAACTGTAAGCAATGATTGAACTAAGCCACTACTGCACATTTCGTATGGCGAAATAGTATTCTCATCCTTCAATAGTACGATTAAGTTTTCCAAAGCAGTCTTCATTAAATCTCTCCAAGTATTTTCTCCTTCAATACACTAGAAGACAAAAAGACAATTATGGTGAAACAAGGTCAGTTTTTCCACTTGCTTCATTTGAAAAATAATGTAAAGTATATAACTAGCAATTACATGCATTAAAAAACCCTCACATTTCAAACATATTGCGACTTTCCTTTACATCATGACTGACTAGTCTGAACATTATTACGTGATTTCCACTGACGTTACACATTATAAATTAAAGGGCATACCTGTCTGTTCGTATGAAGCTCCCATGCAGACTCTAACTGCGTTGCTATGTTCCTCAGTGTTACAACTACTCCTCGAGGCATGCTTTCAACAGCTTTAAAATGATCATCATATAAATCTCTTGCCATCGTGCGTACCTACAAGTGGATTTCGATAATCAGAAGTCATACCTTACTGTAATGAGACTATTATTATTCTGTAAGATACTAGATACTTGGCCAGCTTTTTTAAAGTCCATGACAGACACAAACAGTGAAGAAACAGAACCTATCATACATCATGAAAGGCAAAGGTTGCGAAAAGCTAAAAGTACAGGAGAAATAAATGGAAATACACAGAATCTTATTGAAACTTACAGAAACTAAGCGTAACAGAATATATTAAATTACAGCACAAAGGTAGGGGAAAAGACAGGACTCTCAATCTGTAAATCTGTTTCTTTAGAACTGTATCATGGATCTGGTAATCTTTTTAGAGATAAGATTAAGGGGTTTTTATATGGTTTCTGAATGCTCTGTTCACATTCCTTGAACTGATTCACTGAAGAAGTTCTTATCTGACCTTATACTAAGAAATACTTTTTCTACAAAGCATGGATCACACAAGATACAGATTTGATAAAACAAGTTCTTATTAAACAACATCTTGCTTATAAGAAATTTCCCCCCAAAATATTTCCTTTTCATTTTCATCACGTGTCCTACAATATGTTTCACAAGCTTTAGAGCTACACGGTGCAATCTCAGGTGTGAAAGACCACTGTCTTCTTTTTGCCATTCCATCTATCCCCATTCATACAGTATTTCAATTTTCAATTTAGTGTCACATTTCCCCAGATATAAGTGCCCTTACATGCCGCAGATTTTTGGTACAGAACATATTAGCTGCACTGTTAGAAACCGCAAGAGATGTCAAGACTAAAGATTAGCTTGAGCCCTTGGATCAGCTGGCCACAGCTTTTTTTTGTAAAAAGCTCAATACGTGATTTCTTAGTTTCTCTTTTTCCCTCAGTTTGAGAGGAGAAAGAAGAATTTTAGATAAGTCAAAAATGAGGGCGTTTACCCATTTTGCTTCACTACCACAACTCTTACAATACAGACTGTTCACTTCCCTTCCCCCTATCTGTCACTATATCCAGTTTACAATCATTATCTGAATGTAGTGAATAGAAGTAACATATGCCTCCAATACAACTGTAGTATTGATCATAACATCTTTTCTTTTTGCATAAAAACAAGAAAAATCTACAGAATTATACAAATACAGGTCAGAAGGATTGGATTTCCTTACGTTTTTAAAAGAAAACTCATTTTCCTCTAGAAGAGCACAGAGTTTACTAAGACTGTTGGAGAAAAGCACCTGCAGAAGTGCTTTGTTCTGAGTGAAGTTTCCCCTTCAAGCTTAGCATAAAGTTGTGTCTAGTTGAAAGAGGATTAAAATCTTTTCTGATAAGAGCAAACTGCAACTCCATAAACATACTAAAAATAAAACAAACTCAATTAAATTCAAAGTATAAAATTCACAGATGCTCATCAACCTTTTGCTTTGTCTTCTCCAGTTTAGATTTCAGCTTTCTTCCTCTTTTGCCTGTCCAGCCAGTCACAAATTCCGACCCTACAACATATTTTTACAAAAGTTACAATTTCACAGGCACGAAAAGTAACAAACAGAAAAACTACTTCATATACACTTGCTCCTACCTGCACATAACACATACCTACATACTTACCCAAAGAAGTTTCAGCTGTAAACGAATGCTTTGTTCCTCTGTTAGATTCGAATACAAAGCCTGGCAGATCTTCTTTCAGTATTGTAGCTTGCTGACCATCAGAATTGTGAATAGCAATTTCTCCTTCTTTTAAACAGGTGAGTGACCAGTTTCCCACAGTAAGTTTAGTTGGCCCTGGTGCCGATAAAATCGGCTGGCTTGTGGTAGATGGCTTTACTTGGCTTCGAGCTCTTTGCAACTTCTCAAGGAACTCACTCCTACTTTCTATTTAAAAAGAAAAAAAACATATATTTAAACATTTTTTTTTCTTCCAACAATTGATTCCACCATCATATATCTCAAACAATTTTATATTTTTTTGCAATAGCAAAACAACCGAGTACATTCAATGCAAAACTAAGTTTGAAATTAAAGGTCTTAGTGTTCTAAATTCCTTCCCAGTATATTTCTGTACTTGAACAGTGATTTCTTCCATGATCACATCAAAGTGGACAATGCAACTCTTTCTGAATGGTGCCCTTGACAGATGTATTAATTCATCTTTATAACTATAATAGGAAGATGAAAGAAATTCATAATAAACTTTTCGTCTTGCAAAACTAATTTATCTCATTATGGCCAGCATGAGCTATTCTCAAAAGTAAGTTTTTAGAAATAGGAAATTAAATTAATCCTCCAACAGGAAAACAGCAATCAACTTCACAACTTCCAGCAAGTGGAGAAAAGATGTTGAAGCCATATAAAAAACCAAAAAACTTCGCAGAACTTTACAGGGTCTGACGATCAACGTGTGCCAAAAGCAAATTTGAGTTGAGATAACAGCTATTTGCTCAGATTGTCACAAGGACACCCAAAAAGATTTTTTTAAAGTTATAGTAAAATTTTTATTCATCTCCTTTGTAGAACCTCTACATTCACCTCAGGGAAGGTAAGACAGTCACAATTAGGTTACTTAATACAGTGACATTACGCTAATTCAAGTTATAATGCAGATGTTCCTATTCCTTTTTCAGTAATTACAATTACCTCTAGATCTGAGAAAAACATGAAATAAAAAAAAAATCTAATGGCATCACATGAAACTTGATTAAAAGCTAATATTTATATGGAGATATTTAATAGATGACAAACAGGATCATATCCTACTTTTAGAATATGTAGGTAATCTAGCCCGAAATTATTCCAAACAACTATGTCAGTTTTAATTAAATTATATTTTGATAATGTGGTAATTTAAAGGCTGCATGTTACATTTGAAGTTTTAATTAGCATAATTCCAGAAAATTTGATGAGTTCATAATTTAAAAAATAAAAATTCTATATAAAAATGCAATAATCTTATTAATGTAAAGATGACATCTCAACTTAAAATAAGTATCCTCATCTTTCGCTATACTGATTTGACAAATACAACTTTTGTAGTCCATGCACTTGTAAAATTGCTGTTTTCCTTTTGCTGCAATGACATGCTCTAGGTTTTTAAAATTTGCCACATTTATTGCTGTATAATACAAAAATAAATAATCTCCATGTAAAAAGAAATATGTACGTATAACGTTCTTTATGGTTTAAACTTCATAGCGTCCAGAGGTTTATAAAAAGATTTTTGAAATTTCATACGCAAATTAAAATTCTGATAATGAAACCTTTCCAAATTTCTGCAATTACATTTTAACAAATTTATTATATAGTATGTCACATTGAAAATGTAATGATTATATATGGTTGAGAATAATTTTGAGTTCCCTTAGACAGGATTTTGAGACTCACTTGAAGCTTCAGAATTACCATTAAATTTCATTTTTTGCATTGAACTCTTATTTTTTTCTAAAAATTCAAACAAAACAAGTATTAAGCTAATGTGGAGAGGGGTGAGTACAGACCTTCCAAAAATGTTCATAGTATATGTTTCTCTATCCCACCCCAACTTTGATCAGGTGATACACACTTACAAATTCCATTAATCAACCCTCTATATTCTCGCCAGTCGTGAAGTTGCTAAAAAGTACACCATGAGATTAATGAATAATGATTTAGGACAGCAGAACATATAGTGTAGTTCAGGATTTAAAAATACCATTCTGAGTCTACACTGTACTGTAGTAATTTTAGTTAAACTTAACAAACATTAGTTTCTTAAGTATATCTTAAGTAAAAGAGGTTGCTGCACACACTTAGAGCTAATGGTTAAAATTCAGGCATTTTACACTGCAAAGTCAGCACTCTTAGTAGATCTCTATTTGGCAAAAAGTTGCAAGAAGCCACGTTTAATCCTAGTTTAGCTCCTTCCCTTCCATAACATCCATGCTAGGTATCTTCTTCAAAAACTTGGAATTTATTCGATCTTTTTTAAAAGACTGATATGAAGAGACACGTCATCTTAAATTCTCAATCTGAATTCTTTTGTTCTAAGTTCTCTTCACTCCAAACTCATCTGAGCCGTCCATATTCCACTCAACTTGTACATAAAGTCTCATCCCCACATCCGTATCATTTTGAAGGAAGAAAGCACAACTGGCATCCAGGGACTATGAGGATTTAAGAAATTAACCTCATGGATCATCTTAAAATTCTATCATATGATAAACAAGTATCTTAAAACGAAATTGTTAAAAAGAATGCAAGGATACATTTTCTGACAAAAAAAAAATAATCTAGAAGTGGACTCCAGCTGTGTTATAACCTAGAAACACTATATCATATTTTATCTTCATGCCCCAAAATTGATGGATAAAGTCATTAACAGTTCATTTCTATCCTGAATCATAATATGTTCTGTTATTTCACTCAATGGCTTGTTGGAAACATAGTAATATTGCAAAGCCTTTTACGTCTGCTGGTTCATAAAGGCATGAACTGTTGCAAAAAAAGATGAAACAATAAAGGAGGGTTGTTTGTGCATCCAGAACAAATTGTGTATTCTGTACAGAAAATTAAAACCACCTGTGCATTGCCAGTGTATAAGGTCTGTTCCCTTATCCTCTCTCCCACAAACAATTAAGACACTGTAATTTGTTTCCCAGTCTCTATGAGAAACTTTCCATTACTTTGTCTTCAAACACATGCAATTTCATTCTGCTAGCCAGAAGCAAACAACAAATTGCCATTTCAACCTGCTTTTCCTAGGACGGCCACTACAAAGTGCTTTTAATGACTGGGGTGAAAAAAAATAAGTATGCATGAAGAAGAATCAAAACAAAACGAAGTTAATACACTTTTACTGGCAAGATGTTTACTTAACACAATCCACCAAGGAAGTAAAGTTATGGTCACATGCTATCTGATAAAAAGCATCACAATTAACTGACCACCTTCCACCTGTTTACATCCTTTACTATTTAGTAAGCCAATTCCTGCAAAACAAAACAGCTCCAATCAAATTATATAACAAACGTAATAGTCTCAAAACTTAACTTGGACTTGAATCATAAAGAAACTACCTGAACTATCGGATCCTCCTTCAGGACTGCCACTGGAATACATTGTGGCCAGTTTTCCATCCAAGATAAATCTGAACCATCCATTACTACCATTAGATAGCTCCAGGGCTGCAGCATCACTCCAGATATACAGGCAGTCCCTTCCCCTAATGATTGACCAGTCTCTCCAGTGATATGGTTTACCCTGTTGCAGTTCTTTAGCATCCTCCTGTGGTTCATCCTCCTGTAATGAAATTGTATTAACGCAGAAAAACCCCAATCCACAAAAAAAAACCCCAAACTCTCAAAAAAAAAATACAAACAGCACACAAAACACAAAGACATTTTAAAAAGGCTAGAGGAGAAAAAGAATTACTTAAACCAAAAGTACACGAACTATACTACTTCTGTCTGTAAAATGTATCTTTAAAAGTAGTCTTTAATAGAGAAAGATACTTTTAAGACAAAGTTTCCTTTCAGATACAAACTTATATACTCAACAATAACAACCTACTGACTGGGACATCCACTTCTGTTCAAAACTTGTATTGTGAGAAAAGAATCACAAAATGGTTGAGGTTGGAAGGGACCTCTGGAGGCCACCAGGTCCAAACCTCTGTTCAGGCAGGGCCACCTAGAGCCAGCTGCCCATGACCATGTCCACACAGCTTTTTAATATCAAAACACTAAAAAACACACCACAAAACAAACAACCCAAAAAAAACTAAAACCAAAAAACCACCCAAATAGCCCAAAACTCACACTAAAAAAAAACGCCAAACTTAACTATACCCTTAAAAGTTAACTCTAAATCTCAACTGGATGGATAACGGAAGTTGCCTGCTACCCATTCAGTTCATCTGAGCGGTCAGTAACATGGCCGTTGGTAAATAACTTCAATATGCACTTCAGGTTTTCATTATGTAGAAAATTATTTTCTTTTTTATATCTTTAACATATTCCATAACAATGTTTAAAACATCTTCAATTATTTGATACATGTACATTGAAAAAGATGTACTCTGTTCAGAAAGGATTAATTTCGTGTAGCAGCTGTTTTTAAAACACCTGACAAAACCAAGTGTCAATCAACTTGAGCACAAGTACAGGAATACACAAGAATAGGAAAACACGGCAGATAACAACGTGCTAACAGAGAACGAAGTTACAGAAAACAACAACAAAATCAATTAAAACAAGTGGTGCACAATAAGTATCAATTTAATAACCTATCTAACTACCTCCCCCTGGACGTTTTCCTAACAGTGAAAATTGTAAAAGTGTTGGCTTAACAGGAACAAATAAAGCCACGAATTCTGTACTTACTTTCTCCGGTTTAGACTCCTCTTCATTTTCATCATCAGATGATGGCCCCGCCAAAGTTGACACTTTACTAATTACACCAAGTCTAGCCAGTTGGTCTAGAAAAAGATCACCACCTTTATCCACCAAATCCCTTATGATTTGCAAGGCTAGCAAATGGCCATCATCATCATCCTGTAATACAGTGGGAGGGAAAGGAAATAATAAAGGAGATTTCTTTACTTAAAAATATCTTTACATGCTGAACTTCACACATCGTCACACTGCTGTAAACACTTTAGAGTTACTTATTAATAAGTAGGTCGAATCCATGAGCATAACCCCCTTTTTTGCACTGGTTTCTTAAAAAGGACAACATTTTCTTTCCTCCTACCTCTTGATCAAGAACTGTAGCTGTTATCTCAACCAGTATCGTGGGCAGATTGTGGCCAGCATCAGAGTCACAAACCTCTTTCAGCAGTGCCTCAGAACAAAAATGTATCATTTTTCTAATGAGGGCAAGGCTTGCTTTCCTTTAAAAGGAGATCACAGGAAAAAAAATTCAAGATTCTTACAAAGATAAAGCAAGCAGTAATCAAAGCATAAAAAAGGTTCAAGATAAAATTGCTTTTGTACTACATTTATGCATGCTTTCAAAACAAAGAATTTCTTAAAATGAGTTCCAGTTCCTGTTACTGGAACTAAAACTGGTTATTGTTAATAAATCCTAGGTTATTGCTAAGAATAATTCACTTACTGATCTTTTTTGATTCTACAGCACTATAAATCTAGTGCATTTTTCTCTCCTCAACCTTTCTCTAGGTAGACCTATTTACATTCTGTCTTTATTTACTCTTAGTGATGGTAATCCTCTTCTGCACACCACTTCTTCCCAGCTATCCAGCCTTCCGTTTCTGTCATGTAATTCCTGTGTTTAGGGGAGATCCTTAGAGTTTTGAAGTCTAAAATTACTATTAGATCATGCAGCTTTCCATACTAAGAACTACAGTTAATTTGGAAGCCAATCACTTCTGTATGGTTAAAGCTGAATTTTTGTTTGACTGGCTTTTAAAAACATGATTTACCTTCTTCATACAGAAAACGTTAAAATACAGAGAGCCAACTACTTCTTCCCACAATCTGCAACAACAGTTAATCATGCACAGATTGGTAAGTTTCTTAATTTCTTCATTTAAAATGACCTAGTTTAAGCTTCCTATCATCAGTTCATGTAGAGTCTCTCTCCACTAGAGTCCCTTTTTATCTTGTATTTTCACCCCTCAAAGTACCTATAAACACCGGGAACACAAATAAGAGATTAATAAAATGCTATATTTGCAGTGTAAAAGGCTGAGAGGTTATGGTCAGACGCAATTTATCACAACCATTATGCCACTCAGTATTTCTTTTTAAGTATTAAATTAGATTACATTATTTTAATTCTCTCAGTAAGAGGTATCTTCTCCAGTTGATTAACATTTAAGTTATTAAGAAGCCTTCTACAACAGCTTTTTTGAGTCTTTCAGATTTTCCAATAAATGTATACTGATACTGCTTCACTAGTTTTCCTCTCCTAAATTAGTACTTTCATTATGGTGGCTACAAACAGCTGTAACGAAATACACAGTATATGCAGTCTACACAAGATACTATATATATGAAACGGTATTCTTTCATCATGCTACTATAGTCAAAAGTATGCTCCTCTCTCCCACTTTTGACTAACTAACCATATTTTTTCCAAGAAACCACTTCCCAAGAAAGGTAAAAATGTTACTTAAAGTACTGAGTAAAATTAGACTTGCAACACTTTTCAAACCACCACTTCCATTCAAACAGAAATATTTTTACATGTCACTCGCAACATAAACTTTTAGATGTTATAATTTTTACTGAAAAAATGCCACCTTGGCTTTTTTAGCAGAGTGTATTAATGATTCAAAATATGCAGGGAAATTGCCTATCATAGCTATTACCTTATTGAAGGCAACATAGTTTGTTGAAATGTTTGTGCAAACACAGGCAATAATCTTTTCAAGTATATGGGTGCCATTTCTGGATCTCCTTTGGGTTCATTACATTCTTCTTCGTCTTTGTTTGCATCTTTCTTTTTCTTCTCATCTCCTTTGTTAACAGGACACATCCAGTCCCCTAGAAAATATTTTTTTCCCCAAAAACATTCAATGGCAAAAATCAACCAACCGAAAAATTCCTTTAAATAAATCTAAGAATATTCTTTACTAATACCTAAGTACCTGAACAGGAATATGCATTCCAAAAAATATAGAACTTACATGTGCAAGACTTCTTGAAGAAAACTGTTTGATAACAAGTACCACCAAAGACCACTCACAGGGGAAGCTCAGTCCTTAAAGTGAACTAAATATGAACAAATAACCGTCTGTGATTCCAGTGGTACAAAAGCCTCCTGAACAGGTAAAGTGCAGTTCCCATGTAGAAAGAAAGGAAGAAGCTACCAAGCCTGACATCCTTTGAACCCACATCAAAATCCCAGTCTAGTCCCATTCTACAGCTGAAGAGCAGGACCACTGGCGCTGCTCGTGCCCAGTCAGCAGTTTCTTCAGTAATCCTCATCCTTTAATAATAGCTAAAATATTAAGGTTTTTACATGTACTTTGTAAGTTAAGGAAGGTTGGTCACAAAATACTATTTTTTAAAATCGAATTACTTCACATATATAAGCATTTCTACTAGCAAAGGTATGGAGTTAAGAACTGCACTCACCTGGAGACTGAAGAATAGCTACTACTTCACTGTGACCCCTTTCACGAGCTTTGTCTAAAGGAGTTTTCCCATCTTCATCTCTCAAATCAGGGTTTGCACCATGTCGTAGGAGAGTCTGAGAACAAATATTTTTAAATATAAAAAAAAAAATTTAAGATTCCTTCTTCCAAAGCAGTAAACATGTTTTTCATACA